TCTCACCTTAGTACTCGTGGCCAGTAATGCTAAAATTAAGTAGTTTTATGTAGTTTTTCAATGGCTCTCAGTCATGGTGACGACATTACCTGAGCAGTCGAAGGCTGCGCATTTATTGCATGGACGGAGCAAAAATGTAAGTGTCTAAAGCATACGCACAGTTCCAATTAATGATAAATGTGTTTTAACAACATTGTTAAACCGAAAGTACGAAGGAAACTGTTCAAATAACCACAGCATTAACAACAACCTTGAAATAAGAGCTCAATAATCAGATGCATGAAAGTAGTGTTCATTGCTATAGCAAACAGACATCTGGCGCTTTTTCTTTCAGAATCATTATTCGCTGATGGATAGGAAAAGTTCAATACTATAGCATTTTATTTTATGAAAATGAGATAAAGAAGTTTTTGCAATGAAAGAGAAGTGATCTCGCGCTCATAGAATTAAGACGTGCCAGGCTATATCTGCAGCTAAGCTGAATAAAAAGCAGAATGAACAGATGAAACGTTAAGACAACAAATAAAATGTATGAATGATGCAGTGTTAATTGACATATCATTTATTACAGTACAGAAACTATAAAGTATATTTTCTACCCTATTCTGTGCAGAAAATTTAAATAATTGTTTGTAGTATATAAAATAATCATAAAATTGCCATTAGGAAAAAATTATAGATTACAAATGATTGATTATTGTCCAGAAGTGTATTTGATTTCTTGTAGCAAATTCAAAGTAAGAGGTAAGAAAATAATTCCTTGTAAAAAAAAAAAAATAATAATAATAATACATACATACATAAAATTATTGTATTTGACATTACTGTCACTTCTGAAATGATGGCTATGCCCCTGGTGTGACCAAATATTAGCCTATACATAATATTTTTAAAGCTCTTTTTTTAAATCTTGGCTTACATAAATTTCTACATATGCCATGTCATCTAACATCTAACAATGGACAAAAGTGTTTTTTCCTCCCTCTAACCTATGTTTCTGTAAATAAAGGCTGATGTGTAATTTGCCCCCTGACTAAGCATTTAAAGAATTTAGAGGAAGCATTTAAATAATCCTGTGAAGGCACTTAAAGAATGCAGAATCGAATCATTAATCGAATCGAATTGAATTGTTCTAAATTTGCAAAAATCTTTCTTGAATCGAATCGAAAACCTATGAATCGTGAATCAAATCGATTCGCTGTCTACCCAAAGATTCACAGCCCTACTTGTTATACAGCAAACCTATATCATATTGCCCAGTGAATGGCTTAGAAGCTAATTAAAAGGGCTTTTTATTGGCAATGACCTGAATTTGTTCACATGTGTGTGTGAATCATACATCTGCAATGTTATAACTCTGCAAGAAGCAATTCTGGTGAGTGGTGGTATGATGACCATGTGCTGCTTAAACCAACTATTTAGTATGAATAAATAAGCAATTCTTAAACATCATGAATTTATAAGAGCAATTTATATGAGAGAGATGAATTTATAAGCAATTCTGAGAAGTTATGATGTCGCCTCAGATAAAAATAGTGATATATAATGCAGGAGTGAGCATCCTGGTTTTGTCTTTAATGGATGTGTGTGTGTGTGTGTGTGTGTGTGTGTGTGTGTGTGTGTGTGTGTGTGAGAGAGAGAGAGTGTAAGCATTTAAAGAATTTAGAGGAAGCATTTAAATAATCCTGTGAAGGCACTTAAAGAATGCAGAATCGAATCATTAATCGAATCGAATTGAATTGTTCTAAATTTGCAAAAATCTTTCTTGAATCGAATCGAAAACCTATGAATCGTGAATCAAATCGATTCGCTGTCTACCCAAAGATTCACAGCCCTACTTGTTATACAGCAAACCTATATCATATTGCCCAGTGAATGGCTTAGAAGCTAATTAAAAGGGCTTTTTATTGGCAATGACCTGAATTTGTTCACATGTGTGTGTGAATCATACATCTGCAATGTTATAACTCTGCAAGAAGCAATTCTGGTGAGTGGTGGTATGATGACCATGTGCTGCTTAAACCAACTATTTAGTATGAATAAATAAGCAATTCTTAAACATCATGAATTTATAAGAGCAATTTATATGAGAGAGATGAATTTATAAGCAATTCTGAGAAGTTATGATGTCGCCTCAGATAAAAATAGTGATATATAATGCAGGAGTGAGCATCCTGGTTTTGTCTTTAATGGATGTGTGTGTGTGTGTGTGTGTGTGTGTGTGTGTGTGTGTGTGTGTGTGTGTGAGAGAGAGATTGGTAGATTACAGATTTATAGCATCTCTGGTCCTAGCACAGCCTCACCCAGTGGAGTGTTTCATTTAGTTTCAGCTCTCAGATAAAGAAGGAAAACTCAATACATTAATCTGAATAACTCTGGCCAGTCAGAGTTGTGTCAGAGAGAGAGCTAAATCAAATTAATCATGCGTTATTTAAAACCAGTCTTTGCTTAAAGCCATCCTAAACTGTACCATTTATCATGCTATGTTTCCCTTTACCACAGCACTAAACATTTTCATAGATTATGTTATTGTATTATAATTTGCTATATTTGTTTTCATAAAACACAAGACTGCTGCTAAACAACCGGTGTGGTTAAGTGGAGATGAAGTCAGGCTCCGTAAATTAGATTATTTAATCTTCTGAAGAAAATGTGAGTGCTGCTTGCACATGCAGAACTTGCCTCCACATTGCTGGGGTATTCTTAGTTGTTGCCAGGGCATTACTTTGAGCGGTGGTTACGTGATGACTGAACAAGTAAAAAAAGCACCAATTCTCTATAATATTTCAGTCCCTAGACATGGAGCTCTCGCCGTTGAGGTATCAGTAATATCCAGAGCACAAACAGTGTTAAGGGTCGTGTTGCACACAAAATATAATTGTATATTGATAAACAATGTTCTTTGTTCTTGCTGGGCAAAACCGTTCTCTATTGGACGTTTCCTGCCAACTAAGCAAAACCATCCATTATACCAGACTGGTACAGGTAAAATCATGCTGTTGTAACTGTTAACTATAAAGTGCTATATTCATTTGATTTTACTCGATGGTGTAATTTAGTGATATTAAATTATATTTTTGAAACAAGTAGCTAGTTCAGAAAGTATTAAATGAAGCACATTTTTAGGTTACCTGAGAATTTTTTTTTTTACAGTGTTGTGTTAATGGTGCTGTTCTTTTCCAAGAAATTCTAAAACAAAAATGCAGAACAGTTCAATTCTTTATTATAATATAATATTTAAAAAACAAACTGAAATCTATTACAAACCCAATTCCAAAAAAGTTGGGACACTGTACAAATTGTGAGTAAAAAAGGAATGGAATAATTTACAAATCTCACAAATCAAGAAATGTGAACACAAATTATTTTATAAACCACAATCTAAATACTTCAAATAATAGAAGTTCACCCGCCATTATGAATTGACTGATTTGGTTGCTTCATGTTTTTTCTTTGAAATCTGTAAAACGCATTGACCAGTTCTAACTCTATAGAGAGACTAACTATACAGTGGTAAAATGAAATGGCTTTCCCCACTCATTTTGCCTCTACTTTCTGTTAATTTAGTTTTTTGTTTCTGCATACAGCTTAGAGGGAACAGTAGTGACGATCATAATTAGAAAAGTAGCACAAATAATTATAAACACAATACTTTTAACCCTCTGGTGCTGTTCGGTCATTTTTGACCCAAAAAAATTATTTTGTGTTTTTTTTATAGAATTTTTTACTTAATCAAAATGAAACTAAACTTGGTAAAGTTTCTCTCTCACACACACACACACACACACACACACAATTCATGTACATGATTCCAAAAGGGTAAATGGTCCTGAAAACATTGGAAATGAATGGGAATATAGTGTAAACGTTTAGTAATGGTACTGCATCCAAACACAGTCTTACTGAAAGCTCATTTCTTGAGCTATGAACCTTAAATTTGGAACACAAATTGTTTAGATTTATGACTTTTTTTTCATGCAGTTTTAGAGTGAAAGCTAAAATTTCATTTTCAGGTCTTTGCTCAAAAGGGGTTAACAGGTAATAAATGGATAATAACTATTCCATGAATATAATTAAGTACCATAAAATCCCTAAAAATACAAAATATTAAATAAAAAACATTATCGAACTGTGTTGTATTGAGTAAAGTGTATTTGCAATAGTGCATTTGTTTTCTCTGTTGTACATTAAAGACATTGTATTTAATGCCTCTATTTATTTGTATTGTTGCAATTTATATTTGTAGTTTTATCTCTCTCTACTCTCTCAGCGCCCCCTGGGTTGACTTTGTTTTGGCCTGAGAAACACTGGTCCTTTTGAAAACACTGTCAGTCTGAAATAATCTCTGTATTAGGGTGAGGCATCAGCTTTAACAAGCCCCAGTCAAGCATACTTTTGTGTTGGTATTTGCTGATTATTCCAAAACCCACAAAATCCTTTCACCAGCCTCCCCTCCCAAAGAATAATTAACCTCCATTTTGCAAACAACATAAAGAGGCGATATACTGTACATCACCCACAGCCATTCTGATGCCACTCAGATGTTCTTGTTTCTGCTGTGCTGCTATGGCTACAGTGCAGGAAGGCAGTGCCTGGTGGCCATTTGAAAGTGACAAGACAAAACACATTTTGTCCTGTTATCACTCTAAATGAATGAACTCTCACACAGATACGCCAGACCTTGTACAATGGAATGAGAAAAATGGTGACATTGTCACATATCTCTGGTCTGGTGGACTGGAGTTGTTTAACTAAAACAATATTGTTGCTTTAGCGGTTTCAGCATAATCCTATTTAATTCTTATGCCCTTAGTCATAAGAAAATATCATTAATGTGGGCTAAAAAAAAGAAATTGGGCTAAACTGGGCTAAAAAAAGAAATATAGTTGCCCAAAGGAATGCTTTTGGTTGGTCGTATTTCTCAAGCAAACAATTCTGTACAGCATATACTTAGACTAAGACTTCCAACACTAACAGAACATCATTTCTTTTCTACCCAGGTCTCCAGTCAACCAAAAAGTCAGGGATCCCAGCTCCTCGTGAGATCCCACAAAGCATCTCCAGAGAGCGTGTCTCATTGCGTGACCAACAGAAAAGCTCTACAGCCAAAAAGATGGTCACCAGTGCCAGCACCTCCAGTCTGTCCATGCTGTCCAAGCATTCACGTGGCTCTGTCAAGACCAAAGCAGAATCTGTTGCTTTTGACAAGACCCTTCTGGAGAGTCAGGTGAGGGAGCTTCTGGCTGAGGCCAAAACCAAAGAGTTTGAGATCAGTAAGTTACGGATGGAGCTCCAGCGGCATAAAGGGAAGGATTCATCATCAGAGGCTGGGACACCAGAGGGGAATTCAGAGATAGAAAGGACACCGGCACCGCCTGGAGACATCCAGGTGCTTGTAGGGGAACTGAGGGAGAAGAACGGACGTTTCCAGCGTGAGTTGGCCACCTTGCGGGAAGAAAATCAGGCTTTGAAGCAGAAGCTTATTACATTGGAGAGCTCCACAACACTGCTTACCAGCTCTAGCAAGCATTCAGTTAATGGTGTTTTTCCAGATAACACCACTTCAGATGCCGTCAATGGAAGCCACCTTAAAACTTCTGCATCATTTGGTGACACCAAAGGCTTTCCTTTACACTCCTCAGAATTTGAGAAGATTCCCTCATGCTCTGACTCAGTCAGTAGCAGCATTAAGAGTGTTGTGCCCAGTGGAGCAGTGAAAGAGCTCTCAGTGGAGTCCCTGACAGAACGCATCCAGAAGATGGAAGAGAGTCACCACAGTACAGCCGAAGAACTTCAGGCCACTCTACAGGAGCTGGCCGACCAGCAACAGGTTGTCCAGGAGCTAACAGCTGAGAATGAGCGTCTGGTGGAGGAGAAGGGCCTCTTACAAACTTCCTTACAGCAGCAAAGAGAGCGTGTAGAACTTTTGGTGCAACAGAATGAGTCCCTTCTCCAGAGGCTCAGAGAACAAGCTCAGTGTAATGAAGCTGATGCTTCACGTGCCTCTCGGATTGCAGAGCTTGAACAGCGTTTGGCTGAGCAAGTGGAGAGCTCCCGCTTTGAAAGAGAGAAGCTGGTAGACATCCAGCAGCAGCTGACAGGGAGTCTTAGAGCTTTGGAAATGGAGAATCAGGAGGCACAAATTGCTGTGAAGAGCTTAAAAGAAGAAGTAGAGCTTCTTCAAGTGCATTTGGAGGGTGAGAAGGTTGCTAAAGACTCGGCGGTGAGGAAAACTGAGGAACAGCGGCTAGCCACAGAGGCTCTGAGTGCGGAGAGTGCTAGTCTGAAAGCACAAGTGGAGGGGGAGCGGCAGAAGATAGCTGAGCTGAAGGCAGTGCAGAGCGCCAGTGATAACACAGAGTTGCAAAGTCTGCTCAAAGCAGCGCATGAAGATAGAGACAAACTGGAGCTGAGTTGCATGGAGCTACGACAAGAGCTACAGCAGGTACGCAGTAAAACAGTGTGCTCCAGGTGCGCTGAACAAGCTATAGAGCCACACTGGTAGTTTTTAATATAAAGATGCAGCTATCGCCCAATTCCAATAATCTTAAAGTGGCCTAAATACTGGCCAATTATTTGTTTATCACTAGCTTTTAATTTGGTAATGCTTGTATGCTGTTAGGATATTGTTTGAAGTCCACAGATGCAAGGGAGGTCAATTCTTCTCCTATAGGGCCACCTTCCTCCCTGGAAGCTTCTAGTGATCCTGAAGATTTTGGCTTCATCCGAAATCAGCCCCTACAACCTCATTCACTATTACCTACATTACTCAACTAATATAGTCTGCTGAATGAGTGAATGAAAATGGGTCAGCAAATTCTGACACCAGTGAGAATTGATGCACCAGAAGTGCCACCTGGATGCCATTTGGCAAGACCCTCACAGTGCATAGGGTATTCTCTAGCGGCTAGCCATTAAGTGTACATCGGTTGTAAGCTCGTATTGAGTTGCATTATGGCATTCAATGAGTGTACTCGATAATGTCCACTCTGGTTTTGGACTCCACTATTAATGGCTATCCTTTGAAATAGTACACTGTTTAAGGGTATACTTTAGGATAACTTCAAGAATACTAGGCGAGCTCTGCAGGTTCTACCAGACTTTTACCAAGCAGTCAAAGCTGCATTACGTCACGAAAGAGTGGGCTTAGAAGAAGAACGTGAAGAAGACCGTTTTTTTTCTTAAACTAGAAATGCAAACAGTTTTAGATCATTTTAAGGTACTTTATAAACCTTAGGTTCATAATGTAGTGAAAACAGTCTTGCTGTTGGAAATGCTTGAATTCTGTGGTCCATCTGGCATGTATTATGACCATCATCGCCTCAAAGGTTTTCAGTGCCAATTCAGATGTGACTCATTTTTGACATACTTTGTTAGCTTCTTGAGAGTGTCCTATTTTTGTGATGATAAATTTTTGGAGGTCAGTCTTGGGATATGCCGAAATCTTTATAGACCTTAGTCCTTCAAGACATTGTATTATGTACCCTTTGGGAACATTTATGTGGTACAATTTTAAAAGGACAGCTTGGGTAAACAACTTTGTTGCCTAATACCCTCTCCGGGTTCTACAAAGCTCTGTCCGCTCCCTATTTCTCTCTAAATGTCAAAAAAGGACTGCATGTAACCTATTAAAATGTCACCACATATACTGAAGTTGCATTACATCCAATCACAGAGCATATTTTAAGTTTCCATATTCTGCCTAGATCACCAGAAAATTAGAGAGGAACCTACATAAATATCGAAACTAAAGGCAAACTTTTGTAGCTGCCTAGTTTGCACTTGTAAATGTTGTAGTGATGTGTTTAGAGGCATACCTCATCCTTTAAAATACAATTATACACAGAAAGAACCGTTATATACCCACAAGAACATGAACAATTCTCTCTCTGACTTAACCACTTTGTGTGTGCCAAGCCTTTTGGCTTCAGCATACACCCTCAGTCCAGATGTCATCCAGGGAGTTGCCATTGGACAGAGCTTTAAGATGCCATACTCGTCTTAGCGCACACTCAGTGAGCACGTCTCTGTTCACAAGGCTCTGAAGAAAGAAGTGTGTGTGACTCAGGCTGATCCGGCTGTCAAGTGAATTATGACCTGGCCTATACCGCAACAAGAGTGATCTAATTCTCAATTAATTAGTAGCTTATGCAACACTGGAGAAATACCTGTTGTCGGATTTCAGAACTCATTTTACTCATTTTAGTCAGTCAGCATAGATCTGGGCTTGGTGCTTTTAGAGCATAGCAAGTTATTAAAAAAAGACTAATTAAAACCTCAGTCTCAACATTAACACATTATCCTAAATGCTACAGCTAAATACACTTCCAGGTTTGGGGTCTGTAAAATGATTTAATGTTTTTGAAAGAACTCTTATTCTTACCAATCATGCATTTTTTAATTACAAATACAATAAAAGCGGTGACATTGTGAATTTAAAATAGCTGTTCTATTTTTTTCCTGTGATGGCAAAGCTGAATTTTTAACAGCCATTACTTGAGTCTTCAGTGTCACATGATCCTTCAGAAATCATTCTAATATGCTGATTTGCTGCTCAAGAAACATTTCTCATTAACACAGTTAATATGACATGGCAACCATGATGCATTTTTTCAGGATTCTTTGATGAATATACATTTTAAAAGAACAGCTTTTATTTTAAATAGAAATCTTTTGTTTTATATTAATTTATTTTATAAAAATTCTATCTTAATTACTTCTAACCTAGATAAACCAACCAATCATCCTGCTTTTTTATTTAATTTATGTGTTCTCATGGATCTTACCTTAATCAAGTGGGTATTTGGTCAAATACAATAGAAAATGTTAATTTTGTTGGTCTGGGATGGGCAGTAATAATGTGAACCCTTAGCTCTGATGATCTAGTTTTTATTTCCTCAAATCAGTATCAAGTGTTGTAAAAAATAATTTGGTTTGTTATTAGGTTTTGCCAATAGCCTAATAATTTGTTAGTCAAAGGCCGTGGATTGCAGTCAGTGTGCAGGACTGGCCAGTTAGAGCTGCAGTGGAAGGGCCTTATTAAATAAAAGAGCTGCTCCCTGAATAGCTGCACTAATGTGTTTTAAATGTGTGTGTCTGTATGTACAGGTGGAGGCAGACAGGCAGCAGCTGCTGGAGAGGGTGGAGAAACAGGAACAAGATCATAAAGCCAACATGCTCGCTTTAGAGGAGAAGAACAGAGATGCTGAGAACCAGATCAAGGACCTGAAAGAGACCATATTTGAGTTGGAGGATCAGGTGGAGCAGCAACGGGCAGTTAGATTGCACACCAACCAGACCATCCTGGACCTGGAGAGTATGACTATTATCTGTCTCTGGTTCTCAGTACACCACCTTGCCAAACAATCATGCCCCATGCTGTGAATGTTTAATTGCTCACCTTTGTGTCTGTCCAGCTGCAGTGAAATAACCCCTTTTAATGACCTTTATTTATGTAAACTAAACAGAATTTATATTTCAGAACTCTTTATGGCTTTTAGTCCTAATTTTCAAGAACTTGCCCGGGTCATAGTTTACCCCAAATGCAAAAGAAAGTAAAATTGTAAAAATAATTAAAAAGAAAAACAGATAAATAAAATGTCTGGATATATCACTGTTATGAGGATTTTTGGGTGCAAATGTCTTTAATTATCACGGTAGGCTTAATTTTCATGTGTTTATATACATTTACTTTATGTGATACAGTACAGCTTGAATACAAGTTTAATTTGTTAACATTTTATGAAATTTTTGAAAGAAGTCTTTCCCTGAAAGAAGTCATCAAGACTGCATTTATTTGATAAAAACTTAATATTTTTGCATTAATAATCTTACTGACGCCACACTTGGTAGTGTATATATAATTTTTGTGTAATTTTGTCCTTATTTTTCAGATCAAATCAAGAGGCTGGAAGAAAACAAGGCTGAGCTGGAGAAGCAGATTAAGGCCATGAATAAACAGATGAAGGTGGAATTGTTTATCTGTTTTTCTTGTACTTTCTTCATTTTGTAACGAACTACAGCATAACCATGCATGTTTGACAGTGGATGTCAGTTTGTATAATTCAGGAGGAATATCTTCCATCTGTGCAGAACAGTGCTATGTGTATGAGACCAGAACGATCTTCATTAGAGCACGCTTTGAGCTGCAAATGCAAGCTGGATTGCAGTCTACCATGTCCGTGGTCATCAGTCACAGAGACTGAAAATGACATTTCCATGACCAGCCCCATGAGCTCACACGAAGGCCAAAACACTTCCGGTCCACGTGACTAAAACTGCATGTGTTTGTGTGCGGACTTTCAGGATGAGACAGAGGAGTGGCGCCGTTTCCAGGCTGACCTCCAGACAGCAGTAGTGGTCGCCAATGACATAAAGGTGGAAGCTCAGGAGGAGCTGCGCACGCTGCGCAGATGTCTGCAGGAGGAGCAGGAGCACAGCGCAAGACTGGCTTCAGAGTTGGAACAGATCCAGGGTGCCAGGTACACAATCAATTATGAACTCAACACTGGCCTCTCCTCTGCTATCCATCTGGGCTCTCAACTCTTAACAAGCCACATCTCCATTCAAATATCAATCTCTGACAGCCGCTGTCTGGGTTCACTGGTATAGTTCACTACATCCCAAAGTTACACTATCTTACAATATCATGATCAGATAAAGAGTGGGAATTTGACATTTTAAGTGTCTGAAATTCATGTCTGACATTTTAAAGGCTGCAGTAAACTTTACCAATGAACACTCAAATCACTAGTCATGCAAAATTACCCTCACTCCTCTGCTTTTACACACTATCTTGCATCTGTTTTTTTGTTTTTTTTGGGTATAGTATCTGCAAACTGTGAAATGGCCCCAAAAAACTCACCTACTGTGTTCAAAACCAAAGGCAGCTGCTTTGCTGCTTAGTCGGTAGATATTCCTTTTAAGTCTTGAGGAAAAAAGTACCTTAAAAGACATTAAAAGATAAAAGACAAGTTCAAGTGAAATTGAATCATAAGTTAAAAAGTTGGACTTGTATAAATTGTAGTATTTATTCATATTTTGAATTTGCTTGTGTTTTCATATATTCAGTTTTCATTTTAAGTTTTATTAATTTTGGTATGTGCTTTTGTCATTTTTAAAAATAGTATTAAATATATAATATATGAAATATTAAATATAGAATGTTTTTATTTCAGTTTTAGTTTGAGTCATTTTAGTACTTCAACGTTTTTTTTTTTCAGTAAGAAAAAAAAGTTTTTTTTTTAACTAAAACTTTATTTCAGTTAATGAAAACAACTTTAATAGTTTTAGTTAACAATAACAACACTGTAAATGGTAGTTAGTTTGTTCAACTGCTCAATTAAACCGCATTTTTATTTTGTCAACCAACCACCAAAGCATGTACACACAAAATGTGGGAAGTCATAGACACGGAATAATTTTTTTTTTTCACGTTTCTTATACAGCCACTGACTCCCACTGCCTTATTTTTAACACACAAATATACCTGTCATATCTTTTTTAAATTTTAAACACTCATATATTCATATGAACTGAGCTTGAACTGATAATGAAATAATGATCTATTTTATGTGCAAATTGATACATTTCATCCTCCAAGAACAACATCTGATACACTGAACAAACTGTTTGAGGAAAATTAATGTCCCCAGCAACATCTTTACCTGTGTCAAATAGTCTTTACTCTTTGGTGTTGGGCTGGCATTAATGCTTTGGTGTTCATGTCTGTTTGATGTGCTAGCTTCGTAGAATATTTTGCATCAGTCTGCAGAGCATTAGCAACAACATTTTCTCCCATTATCATGTGCGCTTCATTATAGGAATCCAATAAGATTATGAGCCTGAGTGCATGTATTGAATACCCGATTATTTATTTTGAGACGGGCTTAATAAAACAGCGCTTTTATAAGTAGTGCGTTGGAGTTGCTAGATCTTTAAAAATTCTTCCCCTCCGTTCAAACGGACAGCCAGTGTGCGTCGATCTCCCCCTCCCTCAGATGCTCCCTGAGATTGCTCTCTAAAGGATTTCCCTCTGACCCAGGTGAGTGCACTGCTAGCACCAGCCCAGCACTCATACAGAATGCTTATGGATGGTCAGAGTGATTTAATCACCGAGGATGTTCAAGAGCTTGTGTCTTGCCTGTTTTCCTTGACTTAGCTACCCACCCACTGCTTTGAACAATACTACTATCTGATTGGCTGTGCTCCTTTTATTCAAATAGGCTGGGGCTGCTTTGCTTGCAAATTGTCCTTTCTTCCTTACATTCTTGCCCTTGAAAATGTTGTATGTGGCGACATCTGCTGTTTGCTATGATTTTTGCACACAGGTTGTGAAGCAAACATCTCAGGTTGCTGGAAACGTTTGAAGGTTTTCTTCCTTCAGTCATCAGACCTGCTTAAAATCTGCTAATGAAAAATATCAGATGTTTTATTGATTTCCAGAGAGATGCATGAAGGTTGATGATGACGAATGAGCATTTGCTGCCTTGATGAAAACATTTGTTTTATAAATGACGCTCGATTTACTGATGATGCTGCTTCTTAATGAGTCAATCTGAGGCTTTCGTCCTAATAAACTCAATTTAGCAAGTATTTTTAATATATCTTTATTCCAAACCTTCATTTTGAACCTTAAATATACCTTTGTTTTCTCTGTTTCTTTCAGGATCACCACTGGACCTGCATTTGAGGCCTCCAAGACTGCAGTTGAGGGGCGATAGATGGGTTAAAACTGATGACTGGTTTACAGTATTCTAATACAGAGTTATCTGTGTGTCAGTATTAATCTTGAAGAGAAAGTGGAAACAAATTCTTAATTTTTGATGGAAAGAAAAGAAAAAAAAATATCACAAAACCGGAATACATATGCTGTTTCCACAGCTGCTCAGAGGAGAAATTTCTATTTGCTCTAAAGCAAACAGCACCTGCACTATTTGATGTGTGTTTGATCATGTGATCCTGCTTTAGGCTTGTGTTGTTACAACTTTAAGCAGGGCCAACTTAAATGTTGGGGATAGATGGAAGAAAAAGTTAACAAATTGTGTAAGGATGTATCTGTAAAATTAATTTATTATATCCCTGACTGGGCACTGTCTTTTTAAAGTACAAAAATAGCTTTGTATTGTGCTGCCTTAGGAATAAAGCCAACATTTATGGACCTTTAATACTTTACCAGCATTTTTTGATTTTGTTTTAATGGTTTGTATTTTGACAGCAGCCAAAGAGCTGTTTCTGCCTAAAATAACCCCAACTTGAACTAGATTGAGGCAAATGTAATTAACCAGGGTAAACCATTTAATTGCCTCTATTCCAGGTCATTTCTTTCATGTTTTCTGTTTACACATTAGGCATAGCAGATACATCTATTTGAGTTACATGAAAACATTGGGAATTTTCATGTGCCACTTTTCGAGTGATGAAATGTTGGTTTCTAACTGCTGTGTGCAAGTCCAACACTAGATGGCAGACAAACAATTTCTATCAACACTCCAACATATCAAGCTTGTTGTAGTCTTTAAACACAGATTCTTATAGTTACAAACCTCTGACTTTTCAGTGTTTTCATTTGATTTACTCGAGCACTAACCAATGAAGATGACTTGGTGTAGGGTTAAGGTGGTTGTATCGTCACTGTGTCGTTTCGGTTGCATCACTAGAAGTAGTGATAAGAAATCAGTCGAGCTTTTGAGAAACGTGCTTTACCTCACAAAGTAAACAACTTAACTAAGCACTTCTGTTTGTGTTCCTCATGCATGAAGCTTTCCACGCCACATCCACATCCCTATTTGCATTGTTTAATCATCTGTGGCAAATTTCACTTTGAGAATTTCTCAATGAATGTGAACATCACATGATATTACGAATGCGAATGAGACATGACTCTGAAGTATGAAGTGTACAATATCATCTTCGGGATTTTAAAAGGCTTGAAGTCAGGTCCTCGACTGCCGTTTTGTCAAATCTCAGGATGTACATCTCACAGGAACATATTCATCTAGATGCAGTTTATCAGAAATTATATTACTTGCTGGTATTAACAGTTCAGGACATGACTGTGCCAATATATGATTTCATGTTCAGTAGTTTCACACCTTCTCTGCCTTTAAATGATGCAGTTTCTGTTACAATTCAGTGAATGTGCAAATGTAACACATGCACTCTTTTCATGTGACTGCAATGACGTTTGTACTCGTGAGAGATACAATACTATTTATCTCTAACACATGGGGTTTTAAATGTACATGTTTAAAATTGCCATCAATGTATTGTGTATTTTCCATTCAATAAATCAGATCATTCCAGCATGTTACGTCTCTTGTGTTTTTAAGGCTGCTTCTCACTTTTCACTTTCACATGTTTGTATTCATCCATCTACAGTAAAGAAACATGATACAGACAATTTGGGGTTTTATCCTGAACAGAGGCATCACTAGAACTGTATTTTAAGAGTTCTTGCTAATATTTAGCAATTTTATATCATGCATATTTTATGCATATTGAACCTTTTTTGTACAAGAGGAAATTTCTGCCTCAGGTAGTAAAACTTCACTTAAATGTGTTCAAATGTGCATATACTGTACAGTCTCCCGCACACTGTGATGTGTGGACAATTAGCTCTAATATGCCAGTAGTATGTTGTCTACGGAGTATTTATTAAACATGAAAAATGTTATCTTTATGGTCTTGTACTAAAAATTATTTAATTAATCCATTAATGTAGTTCTTTAAAAATATTTTGTGGACATTAAATGTGAATTTTTAACTATTAGCCATCATTTTGTCTTTCATTGATTGATTATACTTGTTGAATCCCACAAAACCTGTCAGAAGACATGCCTGGTTATGTTTCATCCCAAAATCAAAAGATAGAAATAAGAAACTATATAGTGGCATTAATTGTACATGTTTACTCCCATTTTGCAGTACCATAATGCAAAAAAATAAAATAAATAATTAAAAAAATATATTTCATTCTCGTTACTACAATGTGGAAAAACTATTTACAAATGATTTGTCCTGCTTTTAGTTTGTTGCATTGTATTGCATTGCATTCTAATGCAGTATTTTGATCAAATATTGCATTTTAATAAATACATTATATTGCAGCATTTTCATTAAATAAAAAATAACAGTAATTGTTGTAACTAATGAGAATCGGGAATAATACTGATTACACATGCCTAGACACATTATGATAATACGAATATTTGAGGAGGAAATGTGCTTATTTGTGATGAAAATAATGTGACAATGCAAAAAATTGTAGTCCTAAAATATTTGTATTTATATTTATTTATAGCTTTATTTTACCATGAATTTAATTTATCTTTTTTCTCTTTTGATTATCGGGGTGGGATGTGAACCAAACAACAAAAATCATATAATTATATCTGTATTTTATGTATATTTATTTTACTGTAAAGCAAAAGTTTATTCATCACATACACATGTAGTGCCTCATGTAAAACCCCTGTGGCCACTCTATATCTGTATATGTGTTCTGTGATTGATAGGTCATGGAGTGAAGACCTTAGTCTCTCTGATTCAGAAGGCAGTCCTCACTGGTGCCGAATGACCATGTCCCAGAATGCAACTGGTGGTTGCCTAACCAATGGCAATGGGAGTGGAAGCAGCACGTCCTCAGAACCAGGAGCCACGGTCAAATCTCTCATCAAGTCTTTTGACACAGCTGTGCCGAGTGAGGACAAGACCTTTCTTGCAGCTTTTCTTTTTTTCACTCAGTCCCCCCTTATTCGTACTCTTGTTCTCTCCCTTTTTCACGTCTTTTCTCTTCCATGTAACATTCATTTTAAGAGCTGAGACATTAATGAGTAAAATGTCTCGGATCGTAAAATGACTGCTGACAAGATATTTAGGCAGTGATTAAATCTTTAGATCATGGTGCTATCATAGTGAAACAGATGCTAATAGAAGCCATTCTTTAATCTGAGCTGATGATGTAATTCTCTCCAAACATCTCCTGTCTGCCATCACAATCTATCAGTAACACGGCAGCAGGAAAGTCTGGCTTTCATTACAGCAGCCAGACCTCTCAAATCATTCCCGCCTGTCTTTATGTTGCACAGATACTTCTGTAAGTTACGGGTGGTGAGACAGCAGGACTTCTGCTCATTAATCACAAAAAATGTCATGTAAGATTGGAGAGGTAGTTTAATGTTCTTAGAATAAAAAGACAAAGAGTCCCATTATTAATAGCCTTTAGCAGAATACAAAAACTCTAATGTGGCGTCGTCAGACAGTCATTCCAGCTTCATCCGAATATAAGTCCTCATAAGGGTCCTCCTGAACCATTTCTTTACCTTAAATGGGTTGTATTATGACTAATAAAATTTTCTCTGAACTTTAGAAATAAAAGTTCATTGTACTATATATATATTAAAAAAAAAATCTAACTCCAAACTTCCTCCCCAGCTCAAAAGACCATCTAAGCTGCAAAAACGGCTCATTCCGAACTTGCTGACAAAATTTCAGAAGCCAGATGAATGTCGATATTAATATATGTCCTCCCACATTTACATTTTATATGACCTTGACAGTTTGAGTGGCAAATTTTGGTTACAGATGAATATAAGTCCTCATAAGGGTCCTCCTGAACCATTTCTTTACCTTAAATGGGTTGTATTATGACTAATAAAATTTTCTCTGAACTTTAGAAATAAAAGTTCATTGTACTATATATATAAAAAAAAAAAATCTAACTCCAAACTTCCTCCCCAGCTCAAAAGACCATCTAAGCTGCAAAAACGGCTCATTCCGAACTTGCTGACAAAATTTCAGAAGCCAGATGAATGTCGATATTAACATATGTCCTCCCACATTTACATTTTATATGACCTTGACAGTTTGAGTGGCAAATTTTGGTTACAGACTAATTTGTGAACCTTTGCATGCTGTTTTTCCAAGGATGGGCCAGTAAAAAATATATTGGATAGATGCGTATTATATCCTACTTCCTGTGTAAAAGCATATGACTAACTTTTTTCTGTGGAACACAAAAGAAGATATTGAGTTGTTTTTTTTGTCCATACAATAAAAGTCAGTGGTCACCAAACTGCTATAAAACGGATAGTTCCAGTTAGAGGTCTGCGCGGGACAATTTTTTTAATCCCCTCTCTTGACTAGACTGCGGTCACAGCATCTTTTTTAATTAGGATATTTTTTTTGTTATTTAATGAATAAATAAAAATGAATGCTAATTTAAATGCTAAGTTAGTGTTCTTTTTATGGTCTGATTCAATTTTTTGAGCTTTATTGTACGTATGTTTTAGGAATGTGTCATTGTGGAGATTTGAGAGGGATATTTTGATATTTAACGCTTAAAGTTGATTGGAGTAAGGAAACCGTTATACAGAAGAGAGTGAACAGTGAGCGGTACATCACAACATGGTTAGTGGATTATTACAGTATGTCAAACCATCATTTTGTATTAGATAGTTGAAGAGTCTTCAGGGCTTTTAAGGTGTGAGTTTCATTGATGAGAAATAATTACAGATGGTGCTGTGTTCTGTGTGATCATAAATCTCTTTCCTTATGTAAAGAGTCAAATATTTATTTTCGCCAATTTGAATTCTTTGTCCCCAGCCATAATTAAAAATTAAAAGCTAATTTTATCAACTTCATTTTTCAAAAGTGACAGTATAGCCTTTTGCATTGTTACAAAAAGCAATCCAACAAATGCTGTCCTTTTGAGCTTTCTATTCATCAAAAACAAAATGCATCACAGTTTAAATATTAAGCAGCACAACTGTTTTCAACAGTAGTAATAATAGGAAATCTTGAGCACCAATATCTTCATATTAGAATGATTTCTGGAGGATCATATGAGAACAAAGACTGGAGTAATGATGCTGAAAATTCAGCTTTGCCATCACAGGAATAAATTACATTTTAAAATATATTAAAATAGAAAACAGCTATTTCAAATTGTAATAAGATTTCACAATATTAGTAATTTTACTGTATTTCTGATCAATGATAACTATGGTGTATATAAACATTAATATCCTGACAAATTTGAGATAAAAATATTATAAAAATAAGTTATAAAGCTTGGGCAATATGGCCAAAATCTTATTTCACGGTATGAGAAATTTTATTTCATGACAACGATACATATCTCGATATAGCTATTTTTATTTTATTTTTTTTAAATGTTTTTATTTTAAAAATAGGAACAAAGAAGCGAATTTCAAACACAATAGAACAAAAGTATAAAGTTTTCTGCTACAGTAGGTCATGTAGCAAGAAATACTACAGAAACTGAAGTGTAAAACTAAAACACTGTATGAATGAAATATGAATTGATTCTAATTAAAGATACAAAAGTGATTCAGTCAAGAGCAGTGAGTGATTTTCTCTTTTGTTGTTTGATTAACATTAATGCCACAGACAGCGGCAGCTTAATTAGGCTGCTGTCCCTTTAAGACCTACTGCGCGGATCCAATATGCTGAAACACAACCGGTTTTCACTCAACAGTTTATGTTTATTTAAAACATAACCGACTGTGTTTACGTGAATACTCCACACGATGGGCATTTTGACATAATTGTGTGTATTTGACCATTTAAGCACTATAAGACTTGTAAAAGATTTGAATTCGTGATCGCATGCTGTCTGTGAGAGACGCTGTCTGTGTGCACGCTTCAGGTGACAATCAGCGCATAGGTGCCACATTGAGTGATTTTTCCACTGCTTATTGCACTTAATACATTTTTTAAACATCATGCGCGTCCCGAATTCTTGATCGCATGCTGTCTGAGATGCTCTCTGTATGTGTGCTTCGGCTGTGTGTCAGGACGAGTTCTTCAGTGCATATTGTGCTTAATAACTCTATTTAACATCAAGCATGTCCCAGTCTTTATGTTCACATTCATGCACGTTTCTTTATCACACTTTTAAGTAGTACTATGCAGAATTATTTGCATACCACGAAATAAAAGATATAGCAAAATCTGTAACTTTATACCGTGGTAACGAAACATACCGTCATACTGCCCAGCCCTGTAAAGCTTTAATATAGTTACAAAACAAAGTATATTTATCAAAGACGTCATTTTAAAAAGTAAACAATTTCTTGGGGCTTCTAGCTGTGCAATCCAAAGAAATAACTTCTATGTACAACCGATAAGTCTGCATTGTTTTGCCAAGACCAATTACAACAAACATTGTGGGAACACTACATTGGAAAATCTTGGTTCACAAATTGTCCTCACAAACGGGAATGTTATTATATAAGCTGAGCTGGTTACAGATCATCTATCAGTAGAGGGCATCTTGTG